TTCGAAACAAACGGAATATATGTAATAGCCACTATGGACTTCTATTCACATTCCAAGTATTAGATCGATAACTCCTTTTTGCCAAGTTATAACAAAAAAAAAACTGTTCAAAATTAATGACGTCAAATTTTCAAACTCGATTTTGGCAATTCTAGACCACAAAGCGCAAAACAAAGACCACCATTAGACTCGCCGTGACGAGTGGCATCGAATCAATACCAATTTTATGCGAAACTATCAACTTTGACCTGAAATTTGACCTTTTTGACCTGACATTGACCTGACCTCCACCAGAAAGTGACCAAAAAAACGTCCCTGATGGTCTTATAACCAACACCATTGAGGCGAATATGAAAAATTGGCCATAAAACATGCATCGCACAACCCTACTTAGTAAAGATAGGTTCATGTGCTGACCCTTGGTGATCGGACCTGGTATTATCAGTGACCTCCAATAGCAACATATGCTCGTATAATAGGCAACTCACGCCCTATCGCTGATTTTTGACAAAATGCCCTTTACTCGATGTTGCAGCGCATTCCTTAAAAGACCCGTGAACGGTGAAACATTTTATCTTTGACTTGGCCTGTGATGTCATCGGTGACCCCGAGGTCAATGAAATTGAAGTTCCCTCGACAAATTTAACAAGGCTATCGAACGCCATTTAAATTTTAACGATCCGTCATAGTAGCTTCGGAGATTCGGGGGGGGGGGGTCAAAAATCCCCCCCCCTCCCACCGCGCGGAAGGTAGCCGGGAGGCCCACCGCTTGCCGGGTTAAAACTCAGATCTTGAGAGCGATTACCGTTGTTCAATGCTTTGCATCAAAATCGGCCGAACATGATGTCACTCTGGCGTCATTTCCGGCCGATCTATAGTAGCTACGAAAATTTTATTAGTGCACAAGGTGTCAAATAAATTGATGCAGCCGAAGGTCCTAAAAGCTTTGTTTTGATACGTCCAGCGGTTTTAAAGATATTGCGTAAACACGAGAGGGGCTATGAATAGCCCTCCCCACAGTAGGGTGGGGGTTAACCCTCGCCCGTATTGGTGTTTTTCCAGCCACGAACGTTTAAGGGGGGGTCCGTTGAACCCCCTCCTTGCCGTTTCGCCCCTGATTGAGCTAGAGCTTCGCGGAAAAAACGAGCGTGCTGCCCGTGACGAGAGAAAGCCGATGGTACCCAATTTTATCCTAGGTCGTCGGTCCTAGGTCATCGGTTGACCTTCCAGGTCAGGTCAATGACCCAAAAGTGGGGAAAACTGGGACCTGTTAGAACGTCGTAAAACGTGGCTGCTATTGGGTTTTTTAGGGAACTGATCACGAATATCATGTTAGCTATGATCATAGATGATGTCTTCATGCATTTAGGCCAGGTCGGGTCAGGTCAGGTCAGGTCAACCAGTAAGGGTTTTGCCGGGTATTCGTAGTAGGTGCACTAGGTGGCAACCGCCTCTGACAGCTTCGTAACATGTTACGAAGGCACCAAAACTACTTCGTAAATGTTCATATATGGTTGTTAAATTCGAAATCAGCTAAAAAAACTAGCCTAGAAAGATGCTGATAAAACTCGAAAAAGTAAACCGAGGTCATCAAAGGTCAATGAACTGACCTGACCTTCTGGTGACCTTGACATCCACCCTAATGCATGGGAGCAGCATCATATCCCATGTTTGAACGCTTGAAACCACGAAAGGACTGCAAACGCGCGGCAAATGCGAGCCGACATACGCCGAATCGCGATTCCGGCCAAACATGGTCTCGAAAAGTAGGTCACAGGTCAAAGGTCATTAGTCAGGGCCATTACATTTTTTAGGGTAGGTGTAAAATTGATTATAACTCGAGGGTACTGAAAGCTTCGTTGCGGTCGGCCGCTTTTTACGCGAGGTATTCGCGAAAAACCGAGGGGGAGTCCGTTCGACCCCCCCCCCCTATACGGGGGAGGGTTAACAAGCCAAAACGTTGCTAATTTTTATTTTGATCTGACCTGTGACGTCAACGGTGATCTCGAGGTCAATAAAATTAGGTTTTGCTCGACAGTTTTTCCAGGGCTATCAGACGCCGTTTCAGTTTTGACAATCGGCCCAGTAGTTTCGGAGTTGGAGCGGGGGGGGGGGGGTTCTATAAATAGCCCCCGCCTCCCCCAGTGGAGTGCGTTACAGAACATACCCCAGTGGGGCGCTGGTTAAGAGTAGAATTTTTGAATTATTGCCAACACTCAACACTGCACCTCATGGCAATTAATTCATTATAGGGCATTTTACCTGAACCAGCCTCTGGCCTAATGTCCCAAATTTGCTAAATTCCTCACCCTACAAATCCCCTGTTCTATTAGATGCTGCCATTTTTTTAAAACAACTTATCTTAAATCCTTGTTTCATCAAACTGGGAGCTAGGTCACGGGACACTGCGAGTCAAGGTGGGAGGGGTAGGAGATAGAGTGTCACTGCAGCACACACAATCAATCTTTCCATTGGTTTATCTTATATCAATGCCTGCTCTTTTCCAGAGCTGGCTTTCGAAGTTCGAACCTTCGGTATATGGCTACCAATGCCCTTGGAGAAGGTGTTGCGTGATAAATCGCTGGAAGGGCGACATTCAACGATTGTGTGAAAAGAGACCGATTGCATTGTGATGATAAAGTGAACTGTAATAATTGTTGTTCATGCGCGTTGTTTGGTTATGTGCAGACGTAACTTTGTTTGTGGCCAAATGCTTTTTATGTGTGAAATATTTCATGTAGGTTACTAGGTAGATGCTTTGGAAAAGTGAAGAGCTGCTTTGTCGACTGCTAGGTAGATACTGTCATGCATGCTGTTGTGCATCAGTAAGTGGCTGTCGTAATGATAAACAAATTTGGCATGGATAGGCTAAAGCACAGCATATGAAGCATGCTGGTTGATGACTAGTATGATCCTGTTAACCGACTGGTAATATCACAATAAATGTCACATAGTAAACTATTGTTTTACGATGGTTGGCCAGCAAAGCAAAGCTGGTATCCAGATGACAAAAGGATGGTTTTACCATGATAAGTCATTAGTAAGCATTACCAGGGAGTAGCTAACGATAGTAAAGTCCTAGTTTCGTGCTAGTATCACGTGGGTTTTTGGGCATGGTATGACGACATATAGTTACCGTGTTAATACCATGGTAATTTTTACTGGCATTGGTATTCACATGGTTTTACATTCATATTAGGCCTAGTATTTGGGTCGTAAGTTAGTTTACCATAGGTAAGAGGCTGTTCAAAATATGACCACCACTCGAAAACTAACTAGGGTGGTATTTTTCTTAGTAGGCGGTACCAGGATAATACTAGCGTTAGTAGAGCTTTGGTTTCTTATTAGTTATGCTTTAGTTTCAAGGTAGTATGATGAAAAAATATTACCGTACTAAGACCATGGTATTTTGATGAGCATTGGTAGTTGCATAGTATTCCTTTGATATTGGGCCTAGTATTTGGATCGTAAACTGGTTTACCATAAGTAAAAGGCTGTTCAAAATATGACCACCACCCAAAAACTAACTAGGGTGGTATTTTTTTCTTTCAGTGATTTCTGGACGAGGAATGGATACCTGCTTGTCTTTTCTAATATCGTTATCACCCCTTTTTAAAATGCAATGAATGTTTGAGACCTCAATCAACAGCCTTACTGTGGTAATTAGACGCCACCTGACTGCTCAAAGTAGTTGGACTGATGGGCTTATATTTCCTCAGCATCCGTAACGAGTAAGCACTTAACACGTCAATAGGCTACTACAGTGCTTAGTAACAAAGCTCTCGGGGCCGTTGAGACGTGGCATCGGGCCATTGCTCCATGCTCCGACTACTGTCGGTTAGCGTGGGTCAGCGGTGTAGTCAGTAGACCGGCGGACGAGCTCGATGTCACCGCAAAAACCCTGATGGAATTCGGCGATAGGCCGGGCGGGGCGTAATGTCCCGTAAAGGAGCACAGAGCGACGGCTCATCAGCCGGGGAGGAGAGGGGAGGAGCAGCTCTCAGACGACCGTCTTCTCAGCGGGACGGATCAGTGTACACAGATGGACGCTGCTCGGTAGAATAAGCCGTGGTGGACGGGTGCCCAATCATTGTTATGCTGATCTTAACTAGGACCTTACGGTGGCTGTGCTTTTAGAATCCAAGTACATCCCTACTACGGTTTTGGAACAGGCGTCGGGGATGGCAGCTTTTCATATAGGGAGGCGTTGTCCCTAAGTGAAATAAAACATAAAATGAGCTAGGTCAGATAACGAAACGTATATTCATTTGGCAAATTTGACGTGAATCTTTATGACGTTGAAATATCGTTCGGAATGGCATCGAGATAAATCTGTTTGATTAAAGCGTCTGAAATGGGAGGTAGCTACTATTTTCTTCAACTCAACATGTAAGAACATCAAATCATTGTGGGACGTTGGGCGTAGCCGGTACTCTTGCTTGCTCCACCATCTTTTGTCCAGAACTGAGCGCAACTCTGCGCCGCACGAAAGCGTTTTGTTATTCCATTCCGATCGTTCTATCTTCCATCCATTCTTTGCTTGGTTCATTTATCGCTCTCTTTACTGTCTTTTGCTACTTCCGCTTTATAATACGTGCGTAAAGCTATATATAACTCATTTTTAATATTCACATTCCGATAGACATTCATATCCGTATCAGGCTGGATCGGTGCTGGCGATCGCGGCGGCGAGCTGTAGCGTAGGCTGGCCCGCCGCGCGCAGGTGTAATGCGGTACAGCCTACCTCCACAGGTGGTTTGGCTGTGTGCTGCGGCACTGCTGCGCTGACGCTTGGTGCGGTCGGTATGTGAGGCGAGATGCGCCCGAGCTGTGATGTGGGAACGGCGTTTTCAGCCAGGTCACTGGTGGATCCAAGGAGGGGGAGCATTTTGGGGCATTGGGGTATTGTAACATCGGGGCATTTGTCCCGTCCGCTGAATTGTCTCGTTAGTCGTTACATGGAATTCTGATTGCTTGCCTTTACACTCTTACAGTTGGCGACACGAAGAGAAGAGGCTTCAAAGCGCGGCGCCATTCGCAGCTCTGAGGAGCTTGAGTATAGCGGCGGGGGAGCCTCTGAGAAGCGGCAGTGGATGTGGTGGAGCCTCTTCTGAGGGGCGGCGGTGGAGCCTCTGAGACGGTCGGGTCATGGTGCCGTCGCGCGGTGTCCGCGCGCCGCTCCGCCTGCCGTCCGTGCCGCCGGGACTGGTGCTGTTGGTGCTGGTGCTCTCCACCAGTGACGGCCGAGTGGACATCGCTGGAGGTGAGTTGGTGATTGCTGGGGGGGGGGGGGGAGGGGGGACTCCTCACTCGCAGCAGGACTTAGGCTCATTGCTCTCTGCTGACCACTGAGCTTGTTAACGGTGAAAGGAAAACTTTAAACTTACGTAGGTAGTTTTATTTAGTATTTTCTGTCT